TCACACGCAATGCCGTTATCAGTTCATGAAGGATTATGCTCAGAACAAACTAAAAAGTAGATAATAATTTCTCTCATAGCTAGTTGCCAATAGAATGATTGTAACACTTAGTATATCAAGCAACCCACGCTTTTTACTCTGAATTTAATTATTCTGTTAATAACTTAAATTTTATTATAATTTTATTTTGAGGTCATCAAAAATTATTTTCTACTTTTTAGTTCGGAGCGTGTTTTTTAGTTTTTTTGAACTGTTATTTATTTTTCATTTTTTAGTGCGATTTACCAATTAGTGTTTTGTGAACATATGATATTGAAATGTCTTACGAATCATTTCGTAATCTAATCATTTCATTTAAAGCTTCACTGTTGCGTGATGTTTTTCCTGTTAACTTATAGCAATCAAATTCTTCAATCCGAATACCGTCTAAAGATCTTACACGACTCAGTGCTACATAAGCTTGTCCAACAGTAAACATCTTGTGGACAGTTGAAGCCCTACCATGGATTAATGACAACATTAGTCTCTCAGCAGTTCCATAGCTGTATCGATATCCGTTTAGTCATATTCACACGTAATTCCCGTGTATTAGACTCATTCATCCTGCGCATGCATAAGGAATAAACAAGGTGAGATTGTGCCATTTTGCAAAAGTATCTGCCTCCGTTGTGGTGTGCCGGGTTTCCGAACCAACAAACCGAAAACTGCACGAATGCGCAGATCGCGTGCTAGCTCTGTCTGTTTTACTCCTCTACAGAGGATCTATAAAAGAATTTATCAATACTGCCGGTCCTAATAAGTATAATGGAAAACCGTTATCAAATTATCACATTGTCATCGGTCCTTGATAAGTCAAGTAAATCAAACGTCTGGAAATTGGTGAAAATTATGCTCAAAGATTTCGTTACATACGTATATACACCCATAAATACATATACAGGGTGTCCCAGAAGTCGACGTCAAGCCGAAACCGGGTGATAGGCAAAGTCGTAACAGCTATCAGAAAAATATTTAAAACAATTTTATGTATGTGTTTTGAAAATTATAGGTCTTTGAAAAAAATATAGAATTTTCACACCCTACGGCAGTCTGTCAACTCCTGTTACTACAGATATTAACTTTTTTTGGATTTTATTTTTACAATGTAATGATGAATAATGCATCTTCAAACTGGTGTCTCAACCTTACTGCCAACTTTTCTCGTTCAGGAAAAATTGCCACTTATTTCCCAACCAAGTATTCCAAAGTAGAACTTTGCTCAACTTTAACTGGCTGTACTGGAAAAAATGTACTACGAGAGTTTGGCAAGTAACCTTAAATTTGGCGCATTTAATAAGGATTCCAAAATGGTATAACACTTAGAAGATTACTCGTTAACTTATGCACAATTTTTATTTGAAGAAAAACTGATGAACATTTTTCTAAATTTCCTAATTAAACAGCGATTATGAAAACGCACAAGGACCCTTAAGGATAACTGTTTGCACAACAGTGGGCGTCAAAATGCTGATGATGATGATTTACCTTTACAGCAAATGCTCAAACTGTTTTCCTTCAGCCGCAATACACGCTCGACATCTTCTTAAAAGAGATCGGGTTATTAAACGAGCGAATCCACGGTTATTAACAAACTCAGCTGAGTGGCACGTCCTCCAATAAATTTTCTAAATGATTTAGCAAAAAACCTAAATAAACCTCAGCTGTCAAAGTATCTAGGAACTCAAACGGACCGATTATTTTACCATTTAAAATTCCTGTCTAATGGTTTATCTTGAAGCGATATTGAGATTTATCTTCTCTCATCAAATGTGGGTTTGCTACGTGCCACTCGTGTAATGCAGGTTCATGTACCCATCTTTCTTAAATGCGGTCTCATCTTACCATAAAATTTTTTCAAAGAACCGTGGATCTTCCCTGTGTCTTTCTAACATTGTGCGACAAAAAGCAACTCGGGGCTCATAATCCCGGGGCAGAAGAGCTTGAACACGCTGTACGTGGTATGGATGGAGCACGTTTTTTTGCAAGATTCTATGGGCTGTACTTTTGGGCACACCTGTTTTTAGTTCTATTGCACGCACTGAAGTACTCGGGTCTTCTTCGACAGCTCCTAGCACCACGTCTTCGTAAGGAAGGAAACATCTTCCCTCACCGTGTGATTGGTTTGGTAGTTGGCCCTCTGAGAACAGTAAGTGTTGCACATTTGTGAACACCCGATGATCTGGATGACGAGCTGCATTCGGGTACCTCTCACAGTAAAGTCTCGCTGCAGCACTAGCGTTGCATCTGCATTCCCCATAAATGAGGTGCATGTTAGCATATTCTTGTACGGTGTACACGGACATAGCGGCACTGCACAATCACACTATCAAAGATAATCTAAGGAAAGCAAATGTTGTTTTGAAGAGCAATTAAACAGTCCAAATCCAAATCACAAGCGATCAACAGTCCAGTTCACGAATCCAAAATTAGTAACAGTACGAAATCAACAAACACGAACATGTAAAGATGTGCAATAAACGAAGGAGTACTGATCGGTATCAAAGTGTGCAATAGCAAGTAAGTGATGTGCTTCATCCATACCACATACAGCGTGTTCAACCTCTCCTGCCCCGGGATTATGAGCCCCGAGTTGCTTTTTGTCGCACAATGTTAGAAAGACACAGGAAAGATCCACAGTTCTTTGAAAAAATTTTATGGTCGGATGAGACCACATTTAAGAAAGATGGCTACATGAACCTGCATAACTTAGACGAGTGGCACGTAGCAAAACCACATTTGATGAGAGAAGATAAATCTCAATATCGCTTCAAGATAAACCATTGGACAGGAATTTTAAATGGTAAAATAATCGGTCCGTTTGAGTTCCCAGGGACTTTGACTGCTGAAGTTTATTTGGATTTTTTGAAAAATCATGTACAAAATTTATTGGTGGACGTGCCACTGAGTATTTACAGGGACATGTGGTTTCAGCATGATGGCTGCTCAGCGCACTATGCACTCTCAGTGAGAGAGTATCTCGATCAAAACTTTCCAGGCAGATGGATAAGGCGGTCTGGTACAATACCGTGGCCAGCCCGATCACCTGATTTGAATCCTTTAGATTTTTTTACTGGGGAACTGTAAAAGAAAAAGTGTATTTCAAGCCGATTCAAAATGTAGCTGAGCTACGGCAAAGACTATTGGAAGCAGCTGAGTTTGTTAATAACCGTGGATTCGCTCGTTTAATAACCCGATCTTTTTTAAGAAGATGTCGAGCGTGTATTGCGGCTGAAGGAAAACAGTTTGAGCATTTGCTGTAAAGGTAAATCATCATCATCAGCATTTTGACGTCCACTATTGTGCGAACAGTTATCCTTAAGGGTCCTTGTGCGTTTTCATAATCGCTGTTTAATTAGGAAATTTTGAAAAATTTTCATCAGTTTTTCTTCAAATAAAAATTGTGCATAAGTTAACGAGTAATCTTCTAAGTGTTATACCATTTTGGAATCCTTATTAAATGCGCCAACTTTTAAGGTTACTTGCCAAACTCTCGTAGTACATTTTTTTCCAGTACAGCCAGTTAAAGTTGAGCAAAGTTCTACTTTGGAATACTTGGTTGGGAAATAAGTGGCAATTTTTCCTGAACGAGAAAAGTTGGCAGTAAGGTTGAGACACCAGTTTGAAGATGCATTATTCATCATTACATTGTAAAAATAAAATCCAAAAAAAGTTAATATTTGTAGTAACAGGAGTTGACAGACTGCCGTAGGGTGTGAAATTTCTATATTTTTTTCAAAGACCTATAATTTTCAAAACACATACATAAAATTTTTTTAATTATTTTTCTGATAGCTGCTATGACTTTGCCTATCACCCGGTTTCGGCTTGACGTCGACTTCTGGGACGCCCTGTATACATACAGGAAAAGCTTATAAAGCGTGTTAACAAGTCAGTTAAACAGGTTCATACTATTAGTCCATAATCATTATTTCTCGGCCTTACCGGTAGTTCATCAGGCAACGTCTGGAGCAGGGGCAAACGCGGCCTGTAAGTACGAGATCCGTCTGCTGAGAGTATTTTTATAAGACTTAAGGTATATTCACAGTCAGCCGTGACGTGCCAGTGATTCTCACTGACGTGAGCTCACAGTGTTTTCAATTCACATCGGTCAGCATTTTTCTCCGTGCTCTGACAGTGCAGATGTGTTCACGTGAGGTCGAGATGGCAAAATTTTCAGAGCATGAACTTGCAATTGTTGCATTAATTCTGGATTTTTTTTATACTCCGACTACCACGAAGGCCTTAGGCCTAAACACCCATGGGGTACCGTAGTGATATAGGAGGAAACACAGGGGGGACGCCACACGGACTCTGGCGAGGCAACACGTGTACATGCAATATGCACATACGAGATCCACCGGGTGGTACCTCCGCGCTCGACAGTCAAAGACCGTCTACCACCTACGAAAGATGAAGAAGAAGAAACGAGAAGAAAACGGAAGTCCGCGTATTTTGAATTTGACTGGTTTTACAGCACGCGTACAAATTCAATTAGTTTTTCATCACCAATTATATCAAAATATTCACGAAATTACTTAAAAACACGACCGTGAAAAACGAAAAATATTGTTCCAAAACAATGCGATGATCACGGTACGGCACGGCCACTTCCACGTGCCGGTCTAGTGTGAATCAGTTCATCCAAATTCCAGGAAGAATGTTTTTAGTTTCGCCTGGCGGATCACGTGCCTGTTACAGCACTGACACGTCCCGGCTGAGTCTGAATAGGCCATTAAGGGCTAATGTACGGAGAAATATATGTGTGAAATGTATCTAATAAGTCCGCCAAGGTTTGGAGCGTATAAATATACTAACATCAAAAAAATGAGATATACCCTCCCCATCCCGCCACAAGCCCTAATTTTTTACCTCTAAATAACAAATACACTGAAAGTCATTCTCCATAAGGTCGCAGCGGTGTCTTTCTCGAGCACCTTTAGGATGCATTTATATTATGTTTTATCTAAGTAGCTTTGAGAAGATCATAAAAAACATTAATTGCAAAAAATATCCTTTTCAGCGTTTTTAAGATGGCTGAAGCAGTTGTGGACCACGATGAGCACGTTACAGGTAAGTTTGCAGATAGACAAAACAGTTTCATAATGTATGATTAATCTCTCGGATCCATGTGAGATTATGTTTAACGTAGCCTTTACCGGTTATTTGAAATTCGAATGTCGACAGTGGGGTCTCGGTAACGGAAACAGATACGAAGTCGGTTAAATGCAGTACATTTTTGCATTTAGGTAACTACAACCAGTACATTTTCCATCCACCTCCACCCATCATCGACAATACCGGGTCAGCCCTCGAGGCAGGTAACGTTCGTCAAGTTAAGTGGAACCAGTCTTAGTCTAATCACATTAGCAAATTTTCCCGAAATAGTGTTGGCAGGAACGAAAAAGCTCTCCAAATAAGATTTATGTATCCCTGAGACCTATAGATTAGGGCCACTAATATCAGAAAAGTTATGACCGAAAACCGAGGCAAAGTGCAGGTTTTGGCACTTGTTGCTAATGTAACAATAATTTATATCTTATAGGTATCTATTTTTTAATTATTTGGAGATATACAAGTTAGTACGAAAATGCTTTTTAATGAAACACTTTATCTTTTATTATGTATATTCAGATAATTTGGATCTTATGCTAGACATCTGCCAAATTACACAAATTTCTCCTTCAATATTAATGATCAAAAAATGCAAATTAATAGAGTGCCCAACATAAAATACCTTGGAGTGGTCTTGGATCCTCACTTACGATGGGACATCCATGTCAATTATATTTTAAAGAAAGTTAGATTTGTATCCTTTAAATTAAATACCTTGGGAATATATTGACAGAAAAATATCTTCGAACATTAAACCAAGCACTGATTGAGCCTCATCTCACATATGGTATATTAGCATGGGGAGCTGCATGTTCCTCACATATCTATAATTTAGATGTTTTTCAAAAAAGTATTCTAAAAATGATATTTAAAAAACCGAAACTTTATCCCACTGAAAAATTATATGCAGATGTTCGAATGTATGATATAAGACAGCTTTATTTCTTACACAGTATCACTCACTACCATAAATTTGTAAGCACCGACCAAAAAATTAAACATAATCATTATACCAGGTACAAAATTCGTGGCACAGTAGTTCCTCAACCGCATAAATCTATAATGCAGCGATCATATCTCTATTTAGCGCCTAAATTTTATGAAATTATACCTAAAGACTTAAAAGATTTACGTTTCGGAAATTGTTTCAAAAGAAATTTAAAAAAGTGGCTACATTCTATATCTAGGACTGAAATTCATAAACTCATAAATACGAACATCAACTAAATACATAATCTACTGTAGCTAATTTTTGTCCTTTTTTGTCATTTGCATTCTTCAGTTTCAACTTAAATTATTGGTCCATGTACAGGCGATGCCTTCTATTGGGCCTGTTTTGATTTTATATTTATTTACTCATATTGTTTGTTATCTTTGTATATTGAGTAAATAAATATTATTATTATTATTATTATAACCATTCTTATAAAGTAGTATTAAGCCTGATACCAGGAAAAACTTATAAAGACGTGAACCCTGGTGGTGTAAAAATATACGGAATGTTCCATTTAGTATTTCTCTTCTCTTCCCGAAATTCAGTGAAATACTAAGCAAAATGGCAGAAGTCAAAGCATAGGCATTTTTTCAGACAAATGATAAAATAACTAAACAAATGACGATCAAAGTCTTTCAGTATATTATATCAATCTTCTCGTTTTCGGAATGTCTTTCCATATAATATAGGGTGTTCCGTTAAAAAACATGTTTGCTGTGGCACGCGGAATTACGCAACATTCTGTATATTTTCATATCAGTTAGAAATACACGCCAATATCATCTCAATCTTTTTGCGCAAACCATTTTCGAATGTCTGATAGCTCTTCTATTTAAGAGCCTTCCATTTTCTTTGGGGCACCCTGTATATATTGGAAGTGTTCAAATAGTTTCTATTAAGCTGCCTGAACATAATAAAGACGAGTTAGTTTTTGTAAAATGGTGCCGGCTCGTCCACAGTTCACCCACAGCGGCTAAGGGCCGTATAGTTCGTCGATAGTCTAGATTATGAGGTTATGTTTTCTTTTCGAATATTGAAAAATTTCCGGCTAATAAGACAGATGATAAAAATCAAGTTGTATGAGCCAGAAATTTCTTAGAATTCAAAAAGAAAATATAACCTTAAAATAGAATGCTGATACAACGTATACCTAGAAATACCCCAGCTTTTCTGAAGAACGGGAAGAATTATGAAAATCAAGGAGGTCGTACAATTATAGAATCGACTGATGATACGGCCCTAAGGCACCAAACTTTAATATCCTGGGTCTCCAACAGATAGCATTTCTGGACTTTGCGCCCATTGGACTATTTGATCAGCACAACATAATTTATCATTGTATGAATTTTCCAAAGTAAATGTCTTTTGCGCTTGGTACTTTGCGAACTCGATTTATCAACTACCTTTTCTCTCTTCCCTTCCCTCGTATCAAGTTACTGTCATTGCTTTTATATGTAATTTGCTCACAATATATCATATGCCGGGTTTACATGCAGCCCACTTCCACGGCAGTGAGCAGGGAATTGGGCAGGGAAGTGGGTAGTGCGAGTATGTAAATACGCAGCTCGCATTGCCAGTCCTCATGACGCTGCCGCTGCCGCATGCTCCCTTAGTTCGCGGTTTTTTGGAAGGAAGTCAAAGCACCAGCAGCAAGTAAAAACACATGTTAATTTATACATTTATTAATTGAATTTAAATTAAGACTACTCAAAATAAAATTTTGTATCTGTTATGTAAAATATACGTAACATTAAACAAACAGGTGTCTGACCAATAAGTGCCCGCATTGGGAATAAGTGCCCGCATTGAAAAAAAAAATAAGAGGGATAAAATAAAAAAAAGTGAAAAATAATTAAAAAAAGTTTTTTACTTAAAATAGTACAACAAGCGAGTTCGTTTATTAATTATAACATAAACGTATGTTCTACAATAATTTCACTGTTACTTTGATTAAATTCCGCTTCTTATACGTTTAAGTTATCCTTGAATTTTCAGAATAATTTAAAAAAAAAATATTTTCTATAAAGGGGGGGTTCTTTAAAAAAATCAATGGGTGCACTTATTCCCAATGCGAGCATTTATTGGTCAGACACCAATAAACATAAAATAAACTATAGATAAAATAACATAAGCAATAAGTCAATATTTTCAGTGAGAAGGATGAACCTAATGCTTTAATAATAAATTATGAACATTTGGCGTCAATTTTGTAAGGGTTAATCTTAAATCTCCTCGGCTAATGATGTCCAGTCTGTTTCTTTTTTTCGTTAGGAGATTGGTAACAGCGCTGAACCCCCTTTCCACTAGGTATGATGATGGAAAGGAAATTAAAAATGTCCTCGCTATATTCCATAATACGGGATAAGTGACGGGTATGTTGTTTTGCAGCCAGAATTGCTGATATCCGTTTTTAAACTGAACCTTAAGTTCTTCGTTTGTACTTAGTTCAGTCAGTTCCTCTTGTATTATGACATTCGTTTCTTCTATGTCACCATATGGATTAATTATCCACGCTGGTATTACCATAGTCAAAATATCCTCAAACCTAGATTCAAAATCTGAATAGAGGGCATTTAAATGTTGAACGTAAGTTGAAACGTCGTCTTCCTGGCAGCTTGTCTGTGACAAATTGGGGAACTGAGAAAATTCGCCCCGTCCAATATTTTGCTTCATTAGTTTAACCCTGGCAAGAAACGCTGATAAGATGGACTTTGTTTTAATCAAATTTAAACTGTCGCCTTGTAATTGCAAATTAACCATATTATATTTTGTAAACAAATCTGTTAAAATAGGCGATGTCTGTTTTCCTCTTCATTAAATTTTCTTTTAAAATTTTATCTTTAGTATCCAGAAATTCTAAAATAGTCTCAAAAAGTGCAAAAAATCTTGTCAAACATAAGCCTTTCGACAGCCAGCGTACTTCAGTGTGAAGGAGTAATTGGTGAAAGTGTTCGTCATTTTCTTCACACAACTGCGCAAATAACCGCCTATTCAACGCGTTGCTTCTGATTCGGTTTACTGCATCAATGACTAAATGAAGCGATTCATGCAATCTAACACTCAAATTTTTAGCAACTAAATGTTGTCGATGGATGACGCAATGTATTGCTAACATCCCTGACACATTTTGTTTTAAATAGCTTATAAATCCACGATAACGTCCAACCATGGCAGGTGCTCCATCTATAGCTACTGATATTATATTTGATAAAGGAATTGCTTTTTCAATGAAGTAATTTTTCAAAATGTGAAATATTCACCTTTAGTGTCGGTTATCAAAGTTCTTGCGAAGAGCAGTTCTTCGTAGATTTCTTGATTCATAATACAACGAACATATGCCAATAATAATGCTGCATTATCAGGTAAAGTTGACTCGTCCAGTTGTATAGAGAAATGGGTCGTTTGCAAATAATTACATAAGAAGCTTTCAATATCAGAACTCATTTCATCAATACGTCTTTCAACAGTATTGTTGCTTAAGGGAATTCGTTAATTCTTTTAATGATATCAGATGCAGGTTTGTGTAAAACAGTTTTTAAAACCTCTTCAACGGCTGGCAAAATTAACTTCTCTCCGATAGTATGCGGTTTTCCGGATTTTGCTATAAGTAACGAGATATTGTAAGACGCCCGCAAACCATCATCATTTTTTTGTGACGTCGAAGCGAACATTCTGTCCAGTGTAGGTCTCTTCTGAAATTCATCTTTGAGTGTTTGAAAGTATTTCAAATCTTTCTCTGTTTTATCAGGGTGGCATCTTCTCAGATGATCTTGTAGTTTAGATGGTTTCATAGCGTCATTGCCCAAAACTTTGTTGCATAAAAGGCACATAGGCGATTGTTTGTCCGGCAATGATGGAATGAAGCCAAATTTCAAATAATCAACACTGTACTGTCTACATTTCTTTTTAGATTCGGACATGGCATCAGTCATCTGTGGGCAAAATTAAATTATTTAAATAAGACAAAAAAATCCAGCAGCTGTATATTAAAAATATTTTTTGATTTTTTCCGAAAACATTCCATAATTCGAACATCTTCTTGCAACAATTAGCTCGAATTATGGAGATTGCACTGTAATTTTAATTACCGATTGCTAAAACTTTCAAAAAGAAACTATTGAGGAGTACTCGTGTAATTTTGCATGATTGAATATTTAACTACTAATGACTAAAGTCATGATTGGCGTAATTTATCTATCTTTGATAACTACGAGTACAAAACTAAAATTTAATAAAAAATAATGTACTTACTTTTCTCCAGCACTCTCAAACAAAATAACACTGACTCACTATAATTTGTGTGATATACTATCTGTTTATATTTTTTAAAATATTTTCTTAGCACTTTCCTTTTCAAGATTCAGGAAATGAATAAACGTATTTGTCCCACATTCGTATTTATAGAGTGACGAATTGAACAAGTCAGTGCAAGGTAGCGAAGCTCTGAGACTCTCAGGTTTTTACAAGTTCAAAATGTATTGCGACCACAAAGCGAATACCAACATCCTACAACTTACACAATTTTATAAACATATATAATAAATTTTTTACTTCATAGGTACTTTTATAAATAATGTATATGTTTTGATATTATAAGATAGTATGATGTAAGTAAATAGGTACTATCAGTGTATGTGTTGAGATCCACTATCGTGGACCCCCATATTCATTTCATGGACTCCCAAATTTTTTTTCGCTGACGTAGACCCCTTGCAGGTTGTCATAGACCCCTAGGGGTCGATATAGACCACTTTGGGAATCAATGGTCTACATGCTGCCCGCTGTACCAACAGTCAGTCCTGCCCTTACCACGTGGACGCGTGATATCGTAACCTACTTTATTCCTTTTTTGGCAAATTATTCGTTTTAAAATACACTTGAACCATGATTGAGTGGAGCAGTGATCAAGTATTGAATTTTTTAGAGCTATATGTGACTGAATGATTATTATGGGATGCTTCACATAATGATCACAAAAAAAAACATAAAGTACATGATGCGTGAACACGGATAAGCGAAGGATTAAAAAACATCCCAATACAAGAGGTAAAGTCGAAAAAAACGCTAATGGCAACATTTCGGCCTCTATTAAAAAAGAAAAACGCTTGGATTAGGTCTGGAGCGGGTGCAGATGGGGTGTGTCAGCCCATTTGGTTTGCATTTGATGCAATGGAACATTATTATAGTTTCCGCCGCGACAATTTCTACGTCCTCCATTATTGCTGGAGAATAGTGCGGTTAGTAGGGTGGCTGCATGTAAACAGTCACTTGTTCCAAATGCTGCCGTGGAATTATTCACGGCAGGACAGTGAGCAGCGAACCCGATATTAGAGATTTAAGGAGACACATTTTGTTAGTAGGGTAAAGTCTTTCTAACGAAAATGCTTCTCCGTTTATAATAGGTCACTGTTCGCAGTATGGTAAACAATGTGCATGTTTTAGTTTCTGTGAATCGTCGAGTTTCATATGAAATTATTTATTTTGCATATTGTTTATTACCTGCCCTGTAATTAGAGATTTGCCTGTTGAGTTGGTGTATTTTTCATTAAATAAATAAATTACTGTGATTTCACTGGCATCATGACTTGGACGATGGCAATTGTAAGTGAACGCCCAAATACACCATATCGCTGGGCATCTTTTTATATCAATCATTGCTCAGATTTATCAGTTTCAGAGTAAAAATAAATAAATTTGTCATTGTTGTTTTCCTTGCTAACAATGAATATCTCTTAGGGTAGAAGTGTGTATCATTTTTTGTTCTACCTACTTGAATCCGAGAGGATGCTAATACAACCTACTAGGCCCTTTACCTACATTTCCCCAAAGCTGATAGCCTTATTATTTCTAGATTTCGAGGATATAGTAGCCAGACTCACTGATGCTTTTCCAAAATTAAGTGTCGGGGTAATACGGAAGGTTGCGGCTAGTTGCCGTAGGGACACTGTTCAGATGGTCATTCAGTTGTCAGGTAAGGTATACGAGATTACTGGTTGTTCGTCATATTCTCTCAGGGACGTGATAGGTGACTCAAAATGCAGCTAATTTCATCCTATTGCATATGTTTGGGCGACAGAAAAAAATAGATTTTTTAGTTTTTGTGATTTTCTCCCGAATCTGGGCTGAATCTAAATAACAAAAAGTTATACTGTGACATTAGAAGTCCTACACCCAAAAAAAATAATTTCTTCAACTTGATTTGGCAATGAGGTAGTTTTTATTTCCTCTGAGTGTACCAGAATATAGTTTATACTAGTTCATTATTTCGTAGAAAAGACAGCAATAAACGATATTAATAAAAGGCGAAATGAATGTTATTCACCCCACTTTATAAGGAATTGAATAATTAAAACATTCTTGGAAAACTAAATAGGGGTGCATAAAAGAACTTTGCTCGTATTTATATCATGTATTGCTTGTCTCAATGCAAAACATTGATAACTTTTAAGCTCGCAAAACATATTTAGTTTAAGTTTAGGCAATATTAGAAAAATGTTGATGAAACCAAATTTATAACCTTTGAAATTTTAAGCAATTGAGGTCGATGAGCAGCGCAAAGCGGAAGTTGAAGAATCAAGAGCACTTATGCCTGAAACAGAACAAGCTTCAACTTCAGGAGTAGGACATCAAAAACGGTAAGTAGGTATGCTCAATTTGAGTGAAAGAATGCACGAATTATGTTCAAATCAGACTCGTAAAGAATAGATTAGACTCTTAGCGTCGCAAAGTTGTGGAAAAGATATTTGGTGCGAACCTACAGTATATTCAGATAAGAGATAGACCGGACATAAACAAGACCACGTGATCATCGAACGCTGTAACATTCGGCAGGGACGTATTAAGAGTCACGCAGTACATATTTTAGATAGTAGATGCTGCTTTGCGTAACTTTGTAGTAAATTAGCACAATTCGATGTGTATACGATTGGTGATGGATATAGGATCATGTGGGGGTGGGGTAAGAAATATATAATGATGTAAATATACATAAGGGTTTCAAAATTTTTGCTTCGATTTCCAGCTTCGGATGCCGGCTGATGTTTGGTGAAATACAGTCGAATATAATCTCAAAATGGCGTTTAAATTAGCCTAAATTAAAAATAATCGTATATCTCTTAAAATTGCTTTTAGAATATTGATAAGTATATTTTTTGATTTCTAGGTAAATATGTAACCAAATTAAAACGTTCAAAACGTAAAAAAATGTGCATGGTTGAACATTGTCAGAAAGTAGATTCTTGAATAGGTTTTGCCAAAATGGGTTCAAAAATGTCAATAATTAATTAAAAAATACAGTAGCTTTATAATTACTTATAACTTACCGAATTTGATGAACGACATCTTTTATTGGAAAGATGAGCTTGATGAGCTTTCATCATCGCTACTGCCTGAAGCACCAACGTCAATAATGAATGGCTCGACTTGTTCCTCTAAAATATTGTCCAGTTCCCACATTCTCTTTTCAACTTTGTCTTTCACGTGCTTAATACAGTTTTCCCATTTTTGCGCTGTTATTAATTCTAGTGCTTCTTTGAAAAGTCCTTTGAGGTCACATAATTTAAAAGTTGTATTGTGCTTAGCTATATAATTTTTAACCTCTGCCTATATGAGCTCAATGGGATTGAGCTCGCAATGGTATGGAGGTAAACGGAGCACAGTTTTATTTTGACTTGCTGCCATTTCGTCAATGGCGTATTTTTGATATTCCGCCTTGTGATCCTTGACAATTCTTAATAATTGTACTTTCAGCATTGCTTCTTCAAAGTTGATATTTTTCGAGCGGAGCCAATTTTGAACATCAACTTTCCTTGAAGCCAATTCTTCGAGAATGATAAGGCACATTATCCAACACAATTACTGCGTTTTCCTCTAAGTTCGGTAAAATTTTTGAAAACCACTGTTCAAACGATTCGCCATTCATTTCCTCGTGGTAATCTCCAGTTTTCTTAGACTCAAAGCACCACAGACCGTCAACAACAAATCCATCCTCACTGCCAATATGGCAGATAATGAGCCTTTTCCCTTTACCTGGAAATCGAAGTACTAACTGGTGTAGATTTATTTCAATAAGCGAACCTTTTTCAAATGTTTTCATCACATTCAGCGAAAAAACATTGAGACATGAGTATCAGATTGCTATAATTGGGATTATTTAGTCATATTGAAAGAAAGAATATTGAACGTCGTATGATTACTCAGCGCTTCACAATTTAATTTAAAGTTATAAACCTTTAAAAAATGAATGATCAGGAACCTGAAATACGCGCAAATATTAATATTAACAAATTATAACTTTATAAAGCTTAAAGTATGAATTAAAATGATTAGAAATATTAGGAACGGTACACAATATAAAACTTAGTAACTTTTTTTAAGTTTGTAATATTCGACATATTTTAAGATTATATTAAAAAATTATTGAAATATCGAAAACACATAAAAACATGGCTTAAAAAAGTTCTAACAAATGAAAATGACAATAAAATATCCACGCATTTTATCGAAAGTTATAAAAGTTTTGTTACTTGTAATATGTTTTATCTGCCCCCTGGAATTAATGTTTAGAACCTTGTTCCCAAGGTTTGAAAAACATCCGATTGTTGTCTATTACTCGTATTTACCTGCTGGATTTTTTAATCCGGTGGACAGTCTATCTAGAAAGGAACTCCTGGATGAAGTTACAGAATCATCAACCCATACTTTACTTGTAGTGTGTCCTGCGTTTACCCACGTTTCATCAAGGTAATAAATCTTCCTGTTTTGCTTTCTATATTTCCCAATTTTTGTTAAATAATCCCTCCTCCATAGCACAATTTCTTCTCTATCCAGTAGTAAACTATTACGACCCCGTTTTTTCCATTTGAAATTTAAATGCTTCAGTAACGCATGGAAAGTTGATCGTTTGAAATTTGGCAACGTTGTATCTCCATTTACCTCTTGCAGTACTTTATCTATAGTAGGTATTTCATTCCTAAAGAAGAATTCATGCACTTTCCTCCTAATCGCATGCTTATCAGCTTCATCCAATGATTTAACAATACTTTCGCGATGTTTACTGGTCATTGGCTCAGAAAAGGTGTGATTTTTTTTGTATTGTCTTAACACATTAAACACTGATGCGCGACACACCCCAACTTTGTGAGAAACCTTCACAACAATTTCTTTGATGGTTGATGCCTCGTTCTCCTCGCGCTCGATCTTATATATATTCAAAATGACCTCTTTCATTTCTGCACTCAGGTGTCTTTTTTTAAAGCGTTTCCTAGGTGGACTACAGGAGTTTACAACTTCATCGGCAGTATCTGTACTACTGGGCATTTTGCGCAAGCAGTTGATAACAATAACAATCAATAACAAGGTATAACAATAACAACGACAAACTCAACAACTTAATAAGATAACAAACGAAAACGTCCAAAGAAATATCAAATTGCAATGATGCACACGACATACGTAACACGTCTGAACCTGAATGTGACTCTGCCTTGACACGACTGCTCTGCCGCTCGGCATAGGCATTTAATTGCGAATTGACCAATGAGGGCTCCTGTTTTACGTCGAGACGGCGGCGTTAGCGTGAAAATCACCCGAACCTTTTGTTTACATCCGGTCTATCTCTTATCTGAATATACTGTAGTTGGCGTAAAAAAGACCGTGGCACTTCGAAGCTCTGAAAAATCACACGACATGGATGCTATTTAAAAAAACATAATTTTCTAGAAGATGGCCTGATGCCGATTCACTTGACTAGAACATAGCACTGATGCAGAAAGTATGCCACAGTCACAACTATGCTGTGAAATATTGAAGTCTAATCAAGCATGTTAAGCAATAAGAAGTACGTACGTTGTGACTTGTATTGCTCCTTCATACACCGTCGAAATTAGGCTTGAGTATTACAGTGACAGCGGCAGCTTTACTCTAACGCTATTGTTTTTCTACAGGGCAATATTTCTAGAGTAGAAAGTCTTTGACAAATGGGTATCATATTCGTTATCAGCGATCTGGAAAACGTAGAATAGATTTATTGTACAACTACGTGGATCTTTCTAACTTTGGTTATATTTTAGGACCTTTGAACCACAGTGGCATCGATCGCGTGTAAATGCATAACGTATGCCCTAAAAGTTTTCGCACAAAATTCAATGGATTTAATTTTAACAAACACAAAATAATATGAATTTGCCTTTGGAAACAAAAGACTGTTTACTTACTTCAGTGTCAGTTGACATTTATTTATTTTCTCACTGCTTTTAAATCACCCACTATAAGATATTTATGTTTGAGATTGCTCAGTACATTACGTTTATAGGGGTACTTCGATAAAGTCGCAAGTGAAGAAATACACCAGCGGTTTCAACATAGAGGAGTTCTTGGCAATGTTTCCGAATCCAGAAGAGACATTCCGCAATCCGGAGCGAGGGGAAGACGTTCTTGATTTGACAACCGCAGATTATGTTGAACGTTTCTTCATGAATAAGTACCCATCCATCTACAAGAGCCACATCTCGTTTTTGCTGTATCAGGGATCTAAGTAAGTAAAATATATACAGGGTTAATCATAATAGCTCATATTTGTGTCACGTAATTAACTGCTGCATAGGAAAACACATCCTCCTCACATGTGGCAGGTTTTCTCGAATTTTACCATTGTCAAAAAAGGACAATGCGTCTAGCTTTAATGAGTTGCGTCTAATACGAAACAGTATCGAAGATATTTGAGAAAATTCTTATTGATCAACTGAAGAAAGATACAAAACTAACGTTCAAAGGTCATGTATGTTGTATTCAACACCTCTTTTGTATGTGTATGTGTATCAGATAATTTCGTACAAAGCCATTTTAACCGCTGCGATGATTTGTATAGCCTTTATTTGAACAAAATGAATATGGCTCGGATAGGACGCGTTCAAAAATATTGCCTAAAATTGAAGGGCCTATTGTAATAACGCGGTAAGCCACAAAAACATAATTCGGAGTTATTTGACTTTCAAGTTTTGAAAAAATGTGTAAAATCAACGTTTATCATAATTAAACTTGAATGATTTTTTTTAAATCTATTAAATCCGTTTCCAAAAAAAAATTATTTACAAAAACAATGTGGCTTGTCATGTTATTGCCTATAAAAATATACAGTCACATTTTTATAAGAAAATGAGAATTAAACTCTACCGCACTTTTCTGCTATAAGATTTCAACATCTTCTTCGTCACTTTCTCTGGAGTTTAGTCCATTGAAGAAGGGTAGATGTATTGGGGGTATATATGGAAAAAGAGATTGTACATTTTTAAGTTTCTTCTCTGAAATTTTTATTGGTTCCATGTACTTATTTTTCAGCATACATAAGCGTGTATTCACAGGCCTACCCTTTTTTGTATCTAATATTCACTTCGCTCGACAAAAAATGATTTTGTATTTTTTGTTTTAAAATGGAAGGTATACAGGGTTATCCAAATTAAGTGTCCACCATTAGTAACTTTGTTATTAGTGAAAATACAAAGTTGTTTGAATTAGCAAACTAGTAGCATTTTTAACGCTGGTAAAAATGAGAAATAAAAAAAAACAATTGAGAGTCGTTATTTTGATTTTTTTCAGTAAAATAACATTTTTTTAAATGGAAACCCCTGTATATTATATTTTTTCTGTTAAAGCATCAAATTTTAAACAAAAAAGCTTACAATAACTTTTCTCCTAGGTTACAAATTGTTGAAGTTATGGCCTCCAATCTGAAACAATTAAATTGTATCGACAAACTTTATTTTCAACATCAACTTATAATCTTACAAAATACAATAACAATTTTTTTTAAAGAAGATGCTCGAAAACACCACCTTGTTCTTCAATACATTTTTGGGCACGTTTTTCAACTGCTCGAACTGTCTTAAGTATGGTCCTACCATCTATCTGGGTTATCTTTTCCCTAACTGCAGTCTTTAACGCGTCAAGGTTATCGTACCTTCGCTTGTAAATTTGGTTCTTTAAGTAACCCCACAAGAAGTAATCAAGTGGGTTTAGATCTGGTGATCTGGGAGGCCACTGTATTGGGCCATTTGTTCCTATCCACTGATCATTAAAAGTAGTACTTAGAAAATGATAAGTACCTCTGGAGTTGTGGGCAGGTGCGCCATCTTGCTGAAAATGCAGATGATGTCTACTTATAAGATCCAATTCGTCTAAGAAATTAGTCAGAATTTCTGACATAAATTCCACATATCTTTCACCAGTTAGGGTTCCCTCATAAAAGAACGGGCCAACAATTTTTGAACCAATTATACCGCACCAAACGTTGAAACTGAAACGGACTTGTGGGCCTCTTGGATGTACTAACAAAAGATTTTCTCTTGACCAATAATGGTGGTTTTTTCTATTAAACATTCCAGAATTTGAAAAATTTGATTCATCTGTCCATAAAAGGTAACGAAAGTTATTTACATTTTGGCGACAGAAGCTAAGATACCAATGGCAAAAAACAAGTCTTCTCTCTGGATCCCCTGCGAAAAGCGTTTGAACTGGTCGGTACTTATACGGAATAAATTTGTATTTTTTTAAAATCCTTTGAATAGTACCATAACTGAAATTAGAGTCCTTGAGAATATCTGCTATTGAATTCTCACGATAAGCTTCAAAATATCCAATAACTGCAATTTCCGTGGCCTCGCTTATTATGAATTCTTTTTTTGCCCTTGTTTTAGCAAAAACATTTTCGTTGCCCCTAAATTTTCGATAAAGTCTCAGAGAATATCGTTCATACGGTTGAATGCGAGCGGGATATAATTCACTGTCTCAAGGAGGATTTTCTGCACACTAAATAGCATTCTAACATATCACACTTTTCTTCATGGGAGAACATTTTTCTTTAAATTAATGACACAATAAAGCTTATAAACAAGTATTTACACTAATGTTTGACATTATTTGATTTTATCATTGTTTTCCAAAGCCTTCTAGTTGCGAGTATGTCCAGTTTAACAATTTGTCGCTTATCTTAATGCTGTCAAATCGCGAACGCCATGTTGTTTTCATAGCCGTCTTAATATTATAATACTGCAAATAATTAAAAATATTTATCGTTATTTTGACTTTATCTTTGACTTTAGCGGAAAAGTCATTATGAACTTTTTTGTTTAAAATTTGATGCTTTAACAGAAAAAAATATAATATACAGGGGTTTCCATTTAAAAAAATGTTATTTTACTGAAAAAAATCAAAATAACGACTCTCAATTGTTTTTTTTTATTTCTCATTTTTACCAGCGTTAAAAATGCTACTAGTTTGCTAATTTAAACAACTTTGTATTTTTACTAATAACAAAGTTACTAATGGTGGACACTTAATTTGGATAACCCTGTATACACCAGAGAAGTCTCTCTTTTGTACGTTGGCCAACAGTACCTAGTTCAAAACCGAAGAAATCTTCTGGCTGCATAACTGTGACCTTCAAAGGATTCTTGTTGTTAGCATCGTTGATGATTTTGTGCCAACCTTCTGGAAAATAAACTTCAGGAGCATATTTTCTATGTCGTTTTTCAATTAACGCGAAGTCACGGTCCGACGGCAAGTGGGTATGTCCCAGTAACAAGAAAATGATTTGCATAAGAAGCCAATTTTTGCTTTGACCAGGACAGTTGACCGTGAATACAACGAGGTGACCTACATCCTTTTTATCTTTAAGAAACTTAAAAAGCACACAAGCAACATCATCCGATCCACGATTGGCTTGATTTTCTGTCCATAAAAACATGTGACCCTGTTCAGCTGTACAATGGTGTGCTTCAAGGTTATAGAGATAAACTTTTCTGCAATAAAATGCTGGGCCTGTTGTAAGCTTAGGTATAGGCATTGCCTGCTGCAAGTCAAAACTGATAACATATACGTTTGTTGTATTTTCTAATCGTTCAGTCTCTAATTTCAGCAAATCTTGCATAGCTTTAGATCTAATTTTGTGTGAATTCAAAAAAGTAGTCAGCCTTTGTTCCTCTTTGTCATCGTTGTTTGATTTAGCAATATCAAGCTTGATCTTTGACTCGTCACATATTTTACACGTGTCAGACTTGGGCAGCTTGAAACCGAAATTATAATCCGTGCAAAATATTTTGCGGTAAGTACTTTGTTTAACTGGAATAATGTTTTGTTGTTGACACCACCGAACATAATAATCCTTATACAAGCTTGCTATGGTCATATTGCAGTTAAGATACATTTTGTTGGTGTTATTTGCTCTGCTATAGTGGCTCTGATATTTTGGTCTGTTTTCATGTTTACCATGTCGGTCTTTTATAGGGACAACAGCTGCTCCGGTTGTCTTCATTTAGACAATATGGTCGATTCTGCCTCGACAATCTTGTAGACCATGGACACTCATAAATTCGACCTTACATACACTGACATCCCTACCATCAACATTTACAATATATTGAGCTAGATTCTTGACGTTTTTGTTTTTTCTTGTAAGATCTTTTCTTTTTTTGAACTGGAATAGCACCAAAAAGGTAACTGTTCTGAAGATCATAGGAACCTAGATCCCAGAATTTTGTGAAGATATTTTCACGGCTATTACTGAGCTTCTCTCGGCAGTTCTTCTGGCATCTACATAGTGAACCCAATTCTTGAAGCTTAATGAGTTTCCTGCTCTTTACTGTTGAATATTCTTGCCCTAAATTGCGTCGTCTTTTCCTTTTCACCCGTTCACAGTTCTCGTCCCTTCTTCGCCTCCAACAAGTTTGTGGAGTTTTCTCGGGTGTAGTTTTAGTAGGTACAGGTGAATCGCCTTCCTAAAATTAAATATTCTTAATAGCAACAACATGATAAGCCACGTTCAAATTCGCGACAGTTTTGATATGTTAAAACATTGTTAGCCACAAAAACAAAAATAATACATACTTCACTTGTATCTGAACTTTCGTCATCATTTGATGGTATAAAATTCCTATCAACCACACTACCATCACTTGATTCATAAGATTCACTGCTTGAACTGCAAATATCGCTTAAGGCGGCTCCGACGCAGTGAGTTTCAAGCCGTTTACAAGGGTTCAGCCGCTTCAAAACTGACACTCCATTTTTCAATATTTTTGAATGAAATTCATACAGTATGTTGAGAAGATAATGGCCCAGGGTGCTATAGGAGCACTTTTTGAAATTTTGTTTTTGCACAAGTTTTATGATGGGTTGAAGTGCGCACTTTTTCTGTTCAACTTGGCGATTTTTTTAAAAAGAACCTAGTGAAAAAGTGGCTCTATAGCACCCTGTGGGGTTTTGTTTTCAGCATTCTGTGAAAATTTCATCAAAAAATGTCAAAAAATAAAGCGCCAATTTCTAAGCGCGCAAATCTCTACAAATCGTATTTTGGACGAATTTTGTCTACTATTTCGTGCTGCCAAACCAAGCGTTGCGGCGCAATGTACGGACTAAGAAAGGACGTATTCAGATAATTTGGTGGCCCTATTTCATATAATATCGCGTAGATAAGTCGTTCTGCAAATAGGTACTCATAATCACGATCGCTGATACTCCTCGATTTTGGCGAGGAAGTAT